TCGAAGGCGCGGCTGTTGGCGAAGAACGTGTCCAGCGCGCCCTTGATCGCCGTGGACAGCGCCGTCCCGTACGCACCGACACTGCTGTCGTAGTACTGCACGTAGTACCCGGCGCGCAGGAACAGCACGAGCTGAGCGGTGCTGCCGCTGTTGTTACCCTGGTAGGTGGCAGCGGCCGAGCGCAGCGCGTCGGCCACGGACACCATCTGCGCCTCCCGGAATATCGAGTACGCGTCCGCGCCAGAGACACTGAACAAGGAGTTGATGCAGTCAGTGGTCGCCGCCTTCACCGCTGCGACCAGCGCCGAACCCTGCGCACTGGCGAACGTCGAGGTGCTGCACACCGCCTGCACACCCTTCACACCCGCCATCGACGGGCGAGGGTGCGCGTCCATCGGCTTCGCGTCCTCGTAGGACCGACGCAGCTGCGCCTGCTCCGCCTGCACCGGCGGACGCAACCGCGCCGGCAGCGCCGTCCGGTTCTCGGTGGCGCGTGGCAACACCGCGGCCGTAGGTCCAAACTGCTCACCCCACTTGGCCAGCTCGGAGCGCTCGTCAGTCGCGAGCGTGGTCACCGACTGCTTGGAGGCGGCGGCGGACGCGACAAGAACGGCGGCAAACAACTTCATGGTGGTCCACGGAGTCGAAAGCAAATTCAAAAATGGTAGTTGTCTCCGGCGTCGTTTGCCGTGGTTGTCCTCGCGGATGGACTGGAAGCCATCTGGTTCTGTTGCGTGGGCCGCGTGATTCTGATACCAGATCGAAACTACTTCTCTGATTTGCTCAGTCGGAGATGGGTTTGCAGCCTAGACAATGCACTGGGCTAACACTTTGAACGAGATGACATCAAGTATTCGTCGTGTCAGGGGTGGGGTGGTACTGGAGTGCCTGACTCTGATTCGGCATCATCATAGCTGTACCTGTACGTCGTCTGTTTACGAATGCAGGCCGAAGCTCTGATTCGCTTTTTCACCCCAAAATTTGTTGAATTTTGGGAATCCTCGAAAATCGATTCTGAGGGTTTTTGACCAATTAGATGAGGCGCGAGAACCGCCGCGAATCCGATGGGACTCAGCTCACTTTGCCCCATACGTACATACACGGAGAACTTGTTGAATGCTTACCATCGCCGCCGTTGGCCTCTCGTGCCAACATCGTCAAATTGAATCGTGTGGCTGGGATTGTCTGGATCGGCCGACCACTGCTGCTGCTGCGAAACCCTTGCGGCATTGTGCCTCCTGAGCATGTCCACGTTAGAGCTGCAGCCGAATGGCCCGTTGCTGGTGTCATTCGTCGTTCCGCCCATTCCGTGGTACAAGACTATTGTCAGTGCCGGAGAGACGACGTGACTCGTGTACATTTGAATGACTTCATGCTGGTATGGACCAAGGACTCCACCGCCGCCTACGCCTCCCACAGCAGCCTGCTCTCTGGTTGGTGTCGGCAGTCTTCACGCTCGTGCAGCCCGTCATCCACCGCGCCCCGATCGACCCCAAGTGTCAAATCGTTCAAATGGACTTTCTCTTCGTGTGCAACAGCGGAGTCGTCGGTATTGGAGACGTGCATCGGCTGTACGGGTTGATGGCCATCATCGGGATATGCAACGTCGTCTGTTACGCCACCTCGCGCTGCCGAAGAAAGCAGTCAGGTCGTCCTGGTCCAGACAAGGGCTCGTTGCTGAGTGCCGGCGCCAAAATCACACCCAGTGGGCGTACAATGGCATCTGTTACATGGACTCGGCCGTGTTGAATGGCCCCTTGACCGTCCATCGAACATCGGTACACCTATGTGTTCGACTTCAAGCTGTGGCAGTGCTTTGTGATCGAAGGCAGGGATACCGTTCCCCCACATCTCAAGTATATACCGCCCCGCTCACAGATTGAGTGTACTTCAGTCAAGAAGGGGTCATGCGTTGAGTCGCAAAGTGCTCTGTTTGAAAGCTTGTTAGAAACGAATTCCAATGTGGCTGGGGCAGCAGCCATCGGTAAACGGCACCCTTAGCTGCGACCGAGGTTTACTCGATCAAGCGACGAACTCTTGTGGAAAGGAGACTTGATTACAGACAGGACGTTTGGCGATCGCAATGAACTCGATGCTGGCTTGCCATCATACAACTGTTTTTTGGCTGATTGCCACAAGCGGTATGCATTCGATTTACAACCCAACTGTACCAGATCACGGCTGCGCATTCAACAAGTTCTCCGTGTATGTACGTATGGGGCAAAGTGAGCTGAGTCCCATCGGATTCGCGGCGGTTCTCGCGCCTCATCTAATTGGTCAAAAACCCTCAGAATCGATTTTCGAGGATTCCCAAAATTCAACAAATTTTGGGGTGAAAAAGCGAATCAGAGCTTCGGCCTGCATTCGTAAACAGACGACGTACAGGTACAGCTATGATGATGCCGAATCAGAGTCAGGCACTCCAGTCCCACCCCACCCCTGACACGACGAATACTTGATGTCATCTCGTTCAAAGTGTTAGCCCAGTGCATTGCCTAGGCTGCAAACCCATCTCCGACTGAGCAAATCAGAGAAGTAGTTTCGATCTGGTATCAGTATCACGCGGCCCACGCAACAGAACCAGATGGCTTCCAGTCCATCCGCGAGGACAACCACGGCAAACGACGCCGGAGACAACTACCATTTTTGAATTTGCTTTCGACTCCGTGGACCACCATGAAGTTGTTTGCCGCCGTTCTTGTCGCGTCCGCCGCCGCCTCCAAGCAGTCGGTGACCACGCTCGCGACTGACGAGCGCTCCGAGCTGGCCAAGTGGGGTGAGCAGTTTGGACCTACGGCCGCGGTGTTGCCACGCGCCACCGAGAACCGGACGGCGCTGCCGGCGCGGTTGCGTCCGCCGGTGCAGGCGGAGCAGGCGCAGCTGCGTCGGTCCTACGAGGACGCGAAGCCGATGGACGCGCACCCTCGCCCGTCGATGGCGGGTGTGAAGGGTGTGCAGGCGGTGTGCAGCACCTCGACGTTCGCCAGTGCGCAGGGTTCGGCGCTGGTCGCAGCGGTGAAGGCGGCGACCACTGACTGCATCAACTCCTTGTTCAGTGTCTCTGGCGCGGACGCGTACTCGATATTCCGGGAGGCGCAGATGGTGTCCGTGGCCGACGCGCTGCGCTCGGCCGCTGCCACCTACCAGGGTAACAACAGCGGCAGCACTGCTCAGCTGGTGCTGTTCCTGCGCGCCGGGTACTACGTGCACTACTACGACAGCAGTGTCGGTGCGTACGGGACGGCGCTGTCCACGGCGATCAAGGGCGCGCTGGACACGTTCTTCGCCAACAGCCGCGCCTTCGACGTGACCGACGCGAACGGCGAGACGCTCTCCGATGCCGTCACCCTGATCGACAGCGCGGAGGAGAACGCCCGCTACCTGAGCGTGATCAAGCGCCTGCTGAACGGGTACAACTCGTCGTACGACGCCTCGTGGTGGATGCTGAACGCCGTCAACAACGTCTACACGGTGCTGTTCCGCGGTCACCAGGTCCCGGCGTTCGTGTCCGCGGTGGCGGCTGACCGCAGCGTGCTGGACACGCTGTACAACTTCGCCAACACGCACAAGAACCTGCTGGGTGGGACGCAGTCCTACCTTGTCTCCAACGCCGGTCGTGAGCTCGGTCGGTTCTTGGGTGACGCCGCGATCCGTCCGACGGTCAAGCCGCTCGTGGTCGGTTTGCTCGGCCAGAGCTCCATCACCGGCCCGACCGCTCCCCTGTGGGTCGGTCTCGCCGAGATGACCGACTCCTACGACAAGGCCGCCTGCGCCGACTACAACACTTGCGACCTGTCGGCCCGGCTCATCAGCGCCGTGCTGACGTCGACCTACACCTGCAGCAGCAGCATCCGCATCCTGGCGCAGGACATGACAGCCAGCGAGCTCAGCAGCAGCTGCAACAGCCTGCTGTCCCAGGACGCGTACTTCCACAGCGTCGCGCGGGACAACGGCCCGGTGGCCAACGACTACGGCACGACCATCGAGGTCGTCGTCTTCGACTCCAGCACGGACTACCAGACGTACGCCGGTGCGATTTACGGCATCAACACCAACAACGGTGGGATGTACCTGGAGGGTGACCCGGCCTTGTCGGGCAACCAGCCGCGCTTCATCGC